CATTCTACTAAGTGAAGTATTCCAAGAATGGAAAATAAGCACAACATATACTCACCATCATATTGGTTTTAACTGATCAACACTTAAGTGCACATACAGGAATAACATTTATCGGGTGTCGGGCAGATGGGAGGAGGTAGGAGGAGATGGGTATATACACACATTGTGAGTGTGATGCACACTTTCTGGAGGATGGACATGCTTGAAGTTCTCACTTGGGTGGGGCAAGGGCAATATATGTACCCTAAACATTTGTATCCCCATAATATGCTGAAATAAAAAAAAAAAAGTTACGTGAGTTGGAAAATATTGCATAACATATTTTTCTAGTAATAGTATTTAAAACTTCTTTTTCCTAAAAGATGACTTTTTAAAATGGTAATGATTGGGATGTAATTTAATCATATACAAATGGATAGTATTGTACTTTAAAAGATATAGGAGATAAATAAAAGTCTCACAAGGGCAAAATGATGGCTTCCATTAAGGTCACTATCCCTGTGATAATTCTTACAAGAAGAATGAGGCAAAAATACAAAAGTATTGAATTCTGTCATGCAAAAATTGGTGATTTCTGCAGTTATAGTTGTGGACACCATGAAGTTATTTATAGCAATAACAACGGCCAGAGGAGAATGGGACAGATTCCATGAGCCGACAGAAGAACCAGAAAATGCCAGCATGGATGGAGCCGAAGCCTGGGAAAAGCAGCCAGTCCCCAAGGCCAAGTGCGTATCTTCATGGACAGGAAAAGCCTGTAGGAAAATACAGAGCATATGACAGCTAGCCTGACAAATCTGGTCACTGCAAAGGAAGCAGTTTCTGTCTGAGAACAGAGAAGACTATGTGATTATGTATTGAAAGTTCAGTGGTTATTCTGTCTGGTTTAGGGGGAAAACTAGATATAGCTTTTTTGGAAATTGGAAAAAATTAAATAGAAGAGCTCAATTTTGTCCCAAAGGGAATACTGATACAAAAACTAATACAATGGAAAAATCACACAGTTTGTGGCTTCTGAGAGGTGTTTTAATCAAGGAAGACTGAATGATGATAACAGGCAGGAAGAACCCTAAATCACTGTCAAAAAAGACCTAAAGTTATAGCAGGTATGAAAATGCGTCTGAAAGGCAACCTGAGAGGAAAAACATCCTAAATAAGTGAGATTTCCTGTAGGACTGGGAGCAGGAGTGAGCACAGTTCAAAGCCAGAGCAGGTTCTGATCAAAGAGGAAGGTGGCATCTCTCTCTGCTTTGAGGGTCTGAATAAAAGACCACTTAAAGACAGAAGGCCAGGCATAAACCTGTGTAGTGTATTCAGCTCACATTCATCACATTTTATCTCATTACATTCTGACTCACATTACTCATTTGATCCTCTGAGATTTGCTAAACTGCAATGAAAGAATAAATATAACATGGGACACAAGAAAGCAGCGAAAAAGTAACATGTTCCAGGGATTGGCATGTTCCTCGGAAGTTAAAAAGAATACCTTTTAACTCTAGGAGCTAAAGACAAATGTTTCATCTAGACCAGGAGAAGAAAATATGGGAGCAAGAAAGTCAGTCTGTGTGTGGCCCCTTCCTGGGCAGGTTGTCCCCCGACACACACAGCACCAGACAAGTCAGCAGTTGTGCTAGGAAGTCATTTCTGTTTTTGTTTTAGTTTCTTCTTATTTAGAATTAACATAGATATAAAGGTAATTTGAGTCTTTACCTTTTCATGATAAAACACTCTTAGATAAATGTGTTGATAAAGATAAATCAATGATTCCTACATTAAATCTCAATGTAATTGATGCCAAAACTCTTTCTGGATGGCTGCGTTCCAAACTGAGTGTCTAGCATCTTTGGGTCTCATTTGAAAAAGTAGTAAGTATGACATTCAAAGGACAGTCTTAGATTTTGTAAGAAATTCTAAGAACGCAAACCAAAGTTTCTTGAGGAGAAAAATAAGCAATAATGGGAAGGGAGACAGATAAAATTTGAAGGAAAAAAAGAATTAAAGTTTACTTAAATCATATTTTAAAAAATTAAATCTAATACAACA